ATATATATATATATATATATATATATATATATATATATATATATATATATATATATACATATATACATATACTCCTAGCGGATGCATACAGGGACATATATATTTTGTTTCCGTAACATACTTTTCATATAATTTTTCTTTTCTATTTTTAACATATATGTTATTTTTTTTATATTTTTATTTTATGTCTATTTTTATTTACACATATTCAAGTTTATTATTTTGTTTTAATAAATTATTTTTTTAAATATTTATATTGTTTTTATTTAGTTAATATATATTTTATTTCATTTTTTTAAATACATATTTACAAAAACAATTATTTACAAAAAACTAACCATATTTAAACCTTGCCCCAACCCTAACCCATAATCTTAACCCTGACCCTAAACCCTCAGTCGATGTAGCAGCACTCAGAGACGAGTCAGGCTATAAGATAGTGGGTCCATGTACTTTTTGCTTTTGCATTAAAGTTGCTTATGGGGACATTTCATTTACAAAAAAATGATGCTTACGGGGACAAAAGATTTAAGAGTACAGAAAATGTCCCCATTAAATCAAATGTCCCCAGTAAATGTCTATTTTTTGTAAAACCAGTAAATGCTATGGTAGTCGTATATATATATATATATATATATATATATATATATATATATATATATATATATATATATATATATATATATATATATATATATATATATATATATATATATATATATATATATGTTTGTATATATATACACACATGTGTGTATATAATATATACACACAAACCACATATACATATATATATAAATACATATATATATATATATATATATATATATATATATATATATATATATATATATATATATATATATATATATATATATATATATATATATATATATATATATATATATATATATATATATATATATATATATACAGACACATTTGTACATATATACATTCTTTATTTATATAGTATATATTTAAAGTTCACAAATTATTGGTTCATTAATGCTTGTAATGAAGAATCAACAACAAAATTATCTGCAGTGTATCTTTGAATGTAAAAGCTTATTCTAATATATTGTGTGTTGTGAGAATATTGAAATTGAATTGGAGTGTTATCAGTTAGTACAATCTCTGCGCTACCATTATATGCGAGGTGCTTGTTTTTGTTTGTTTCCCCATTAACTTTGTGAAAAATACTTTTTACCAAAAAATTTGTTCCATCAAATCGTGAAGGGTCAAATATTTTTTTTGCTGCATCTTTTGATGTTATCTTCATCTGCAGTTTTTTTTTTTGCTACTGTCTGCCTGTACCATGATGCAAGAACAACCATAAGCTTTCATCAGACTTATTATATTTTTCATTATTCCCCATGGAATAAACAACGAAGCTGTAGGAGCTAAACCTGTCGTCTTTCCTCTTGCCAGTTTACGAAGAAATATCTTACCAATTTCTTTAAGGTAGCCATCTACCAGTGGACCAGCCAATAACATGTGGTAACCTATATGTCTCTCGACATTAGCATTCATTTCGTCTCCACTAAAAGATTTTTCAGTATTAACCCCATCAATTATTTCTTTAGCTCACCTGGGTTCGCATGTTCCTACCCGTAGTTCTTCTTCAACCCAAAAGTTATTTCCTCTCTCTATAGACATTTGTTTATTCGTATGTTTAATTTAAATAAGAATGCCTAACTTGTTTGTTAAACTGTTTTCGTTACATCCGCATCCGTAAATCTCGTTAACCAAAGCAAGTGGGAGAAAATCAATCAAAAAATATCGCCGTGTTGTATTAGAAAATTTGACGGAAGTTTATGTCATTTAAGCACTTATTCACAAAAAAAGGGTTTTGATTTTTGCTCAAAACTTTCGAACGAAGAACAGAGTTTAATTATCAGGCGAACTTTGAATTTGATTAAAAATATTACTTTAATTTGTTTCCACCACAAGTCACTGCTGTTGGTTAAATACACTCATTTGCAGCGCTATTGTTTAAACCCTTTTGGTATAGCCAATCCTTGCTCAGTTAAAAGGTTGAAATGTATTGACCTAGAGACTGCAGACTGTTTTTCAAAGTTAACAAATAAATTTATTTGTCCAGGTCAAAAATTGTGTCCAAATTGTCGCAAAGCTTATTTAACCACAAAGTCTTCAAGTGAAAAAGTTGACAATATTGATGGCATAGATGGTATATTCTGTTCAACTAACACAATTAGTAATAGTCTTTCTGAGATCGGAATATCACCTTTAAGAAAACGTGCTAGTAATTTCTGAATTTTACATTTTACATAACTAGCATGATATCTCATGCTAGTTATGTAAAATGTAAAATTCAGAAAGTGCAAATAACAGTTGCAAAAATAATAACTGTTGTTAGTGGTTTATCACCAAATAATAATGCCCTAATAAGTGCAAGTGTAGAGTGTAAGAATTGCATTGACTGGTCAGATTTGATACTAAAGTTGAAGGATAAAATATCAACAACCAGTAATCCACGTGAAAAAGTTCAAATCTTAACTCTGATATTAAACAGTTGGTCAAGAATAAAAATATGTAGTGAATTTAAAGTATCAGAGAGAATGGCTAAAACAGCAAAAAAGTTGAAGGCGAAAAGTGGAATCTCAGCACTTCCAGAAAGAAATGCAGCAAAGAAGTTGCCAGAACATGTTAAAGAAAAAATTTTGAAATTTTGCGAACACGAAGCTTTTAGCAGAACATGTCCAGGGAAAAAGGATTTTGTATATGTGCGCATTGGTGCTAAAAAAGTGCACATGCAAAAAAAATTACTGTTAGTTAATTTAAAGGAACTTTTTTTGGAGTATAAAAAAGAAAATGAGCTGAAGTTGGATTTTCTAAATTCTGTGAGTTTCATCCAAAATGGTGTATAACTGTTAGATCGTCAGGTACTCATCATATTTGTGTATGTACTATTCTCCAAAATATAAAATTAATGCTTGCAAGTAGCCCAGTTATGGTAGACTATAAATGTCTGATTGAAAAAGTAGTTTGTGACATTGAATCCAAAGAATGTATGCTTCATCGTTGCAATAAATGTCCAGGGACTGATATTAAAGAGCAGTTTAAAGACTTTGAATCTGATGAAACAATAACATGAAAGTTACAACAACAACTCAACCAAGTTAGTTTCACTGTCTGATCTTAGTCCTGGAAATTTTGTTGCATGTATTTACGATGCACATTGGTGGAATGGAAATGTTTGTGAATTTTCAGAAATACAGAAAGATGTTTTCATTGATTTAATGCATCCTCATGTTATGGGTACCTGAGCAGCATATTATTGCAGTCATTCCAAATCCAATCAGTTCTGCAACAGATCGATCTTTCAATTTACCGTCAATTGTTGTTTCAGACATTATTTCCAAATTTAAAGCTATTTTAAATATGTAATTGTAATCAAGTTGTTTATGGTTTCTCTCAACTGAATTTTTTCTATCGCCAATTTTTAGTGTGGAAAAGAAACAATATATTAACATAAAATAAAAAACTGCAAAAATATATTTTTTCTTATTTGTTTTTTTGTTGCAGAAAATGTGTTGTAAAATCTGTGTTTTTTCCAAAACTACATAGCATAATAAAGTTACCTAGTTAACTAGATTATGCTTCTATTACCAGGACCACATTTGTGACGTTGTTGGATTGATGGCGCTCTTAGGCATCTGAATAATCGTCGCGTAAAATTTCGTAATAAAATTTAAAAAAATATATATCTACTCTAAAAATAATTTTTTAATGAAAATAAAAAAATGGTACCATCTACAAAAATGAAGATCAACTTCTTTATTATTTTTGAGATTAACTTTTTTTAAAAAGCATTGGTAATAAAATAATTATAACCAAAATACATAAAAATTAATTAGTCAAAAAAAACGCACTTATTTGCAGTTTTTTTACTTCAAATATTGTGACTTACATTTAAGTGATTTTTTTACTCAAATAATTCAAGTAAATGTTAAAAAAAATATTTTGAACATCAAAAAACTTTTGATTTTTGGAACAAGCTTTGATTTTGAAACAATATGATACAATCTTTATGTTTAGGACAAAATCGTAAAATTCAAAAAATGTATAAATTGACCAAGTTTTTTTCAATCATAAGAAAAATCTCTCCAAAATAATTTTTATTGTTTCTAGAAGTGTGAAATAAGGTCTTTCCAACGATGTAAATAAAAAGACAAAAAAATTTTGCCCACATTGAGTTTTAGGGCTTCAAACCCACGTTATTTTAGGGTATTTCACTTTTTTCAAAATAACTCAAAAAAGACGGTTATAAAAAAGCTGATTTTTTATCCCTATCATTATGATAGTACGTATAACCTTTATACAAAATAACAATACTTAAAAATCTTTTGTTCTGGAGATATGAATCGGTTATTGAATCTGTAAAACAAATTGATTTCTAATGTTTTTTTTTCTTTACTGAATTCCCAAGACCGAATGGGCTTTGGAAACATGAATTTATAACTAATATTCTTTTTTAATTGAAAAAAAATAATAACTTTCGATTTTATCTGAAGTTTTGCAATTATTTCCGATTTTAACCGAACGTCAAATTTCTATTTCAAATTCGGCACCGAATTTGAAATAGAAATTTGAAGTCAAAAATTTCAAAGTCGAAGCCTTTCATTAAACTTCGTAATCCGAATTTAGACGAATACACGCCGGTCCTTAAATGTTGTATAATTTCCTCCACAAAACACTTACATTCTAACATTTTCAGTAAAAATTTTGGATTTCAGAAATTAAAAATTTAAAGAAATATTCAGAAAAATATATATCTACTTTTTACAAGCAATACGTGCTTGCTGAAAATAACCGAAATAAAATTTTCTTAAAAGGTTTGTATAGGAGTCCTCTGCTTCGTTTAATTGCATATTAAAATTCAATTTGTATAACAGAAACCAAAATGCCACTCCATTTAAAAAATAAAAAACTAAATTAAAAAAAAAAAAAAATAAAATAAAGAACTTGAAAACATATCAAAAATTGTTGATTTTTATTTAAAAAGCATATATATCTAGATACATACATACAAAATAAAAAACAAACACAGCCGAGTTTAATGAGCTTGAGCCATAAATGATACGGAAACTTTTAAAGTAGTTATTCAGCGTTTTATATCTTTTATAATATCAGCAACACTTACGTCATACTAAACAACAGTATAAAATTGATGAATTTATAGAAAATGTTTTAACATTTTAAAAATAATTAACAGCAAAAAGTACCTCTCGATAAGCGCAGCTCTCATACTAGAAGTAATAGCAGATTGTTGTGAGTCCCCTAACTTAAAAATGCTCTCTATTACAGACAATTCAGTACTTGTAGTGTCAAGCCCACAGAAAGCACACCAATCATTTACAACCATACCACCTCCAATGACTTCACTTCCACGATTGATGGTACCAGCCTAGTATATAAGTAAAATAATAGGAATTGAACATATGAAAAACAGAAATAAATAAAGTTTAGTAACGCTAAAAAAATAAATTACCACGAGCGGTATTTGTAAAAGCGAAGATAGCTCTTCTTGATTTTCTATAGATGTTTTAGGATGAACCTATATATATATATATATATATATATATATATATATATATATATATTATATATATATATATATATATATATATATATATATATATATATATATATATATATATATATATATATATATATATATATATAATAACACATAAAAATACATATAAAAAAATATAATATATATAAAAAAATAGTATATAATATCACATAAATATATATCGAACACAAAATTTGTTCCTATTTTACAAAATAATCAATTACAGTGTTTTAATTTATTTTCAAAGCATTTCTTATGTCAAGTATTGATTTAGTTCATATCTTTTAACTAGCGGCTATAGATAAATGGCTATTAAAAAACAAAAGCTATATATATTATAGAGAAAAAAACTAGCAAAACTATAGCTGAACGTTTTAGTTTGTGGATGAGATCAAAAGTTTTAAACTAAATAGAATCGAATAAAGCCCATATTTGACTAAATCGACTAAAAGTCAACTAGTCGAAAATCAAAATTAATACACTTAGAAAAATCGAATAGTCGATTTAAACGAATATGGACTTCTTACTAATTGACTGAAAATTTAATTGAGTAAAAATCTTTTCATTCAATAACTTTTTTATCTTTATTTTTGATTGTTCATTAAATAACAATAATATGTACTATTATAACTATTACCTAGTTTTTTGTTTTTTTTTATTACCTTGTTTTAGTTTTTTTTTACTCTCTTAAAGTTTTATCTAATTCAAAACATGTTAGTATCATTTATACCTAATTAAACTTTCGATGATGCATTTCATTAATATATAATTTCTTTTGTTTACTCAATGCTTATGATTTTCATAAATACTTTCATAAAGGGGCTGCTCCAAACCGGCTCAGAGCTCTGGGGCAAAAAAATCTAAATTATGAAGCTTTAAAATCTATGTCATCTATACAATCACATTGTAAATACGATTGTAATGACTTTCTGATATATAACAAGTATCTAAACCATTGGGGTCTGGGAATTGATTGTCCCGTTGTTGGAGAAGCTTTTCTCTCATATTGATTTGCTTCATTATTATATAAATGATATTATATTTAAAAATTGAAAGCAAATATAAATGACTTTATTATTTTTATTACTAATTATTTCAAAAAAATAAATTATTACCATACTTCGACTAAATTGACTTTTAGTTGACTAAATTGATTTTTAAAATGTATTAGTCGCTTTTAGTCAAACTATTTAATAGTTGTAACAACACTAAAGATTTTATGACCAGCTTGGTTTACTGTTACAGAGAGAAAAAATTCCACAAGAATCACTATAATCAATAGAATAAAAATAGTTTTTTCTTGATGTTTTTAAAAATATTTGTAAACATTTTTGAAACTCCAAATTTCCTGGTTATTAAAAATACCTGTTTATTAGATTTTAAAACATTTTTTTACATTACCATTTAACATGAACGCCCCATTCTATTAGACATTCTATTAGACACCGTTAGGTACCGTTTGGTATCATTTTTTATATATTATTAAATTCCATCTGTTAACAGTTTTAGTTTGTTTTTATTACATTTCTTGACATATTTAACAGTTTTTACAACAATTTTAATAGTTCTATTAGTTAGGTACCGTTTGGTATCATTTTTTATATATTATTAAATTCCATCTGTTAACAGTTTTAGTTTGTTTTTATTACATTTCTTGACATACTTAACAGTTTTTACAACAATTTTAATAGTTTTATTAAAATAATTTTAGTTTATATTTAGTTTACATATGGTTTTCCTGCTACTGTTAACATGTAACCCAGTACAACCTGCTCCATGTCCTGCTGCCTTGTTGGATACGCTTTTTTAGGCAAAGGCTAGGAGAAGTTAACTCCGAATTAAAACACCCCCTGCCTTGGGGCTCTTGGTTGAGTAAAGGCTAGAGATGGTGTCTCGATAAAAATACTCATCTTGGGCAGATGTTACATGCATCCAGCTGCTGTCTTGTAGAAGGCCTCCTAGGCAAAGACTTAAGGAGTAAACAGATTCTATCTGTTGACCAGCCTCGCACCCCTTCCTCATCTATTAGGCTGGCGCAGATGTATTTTTAATACATTGTTTCCAGTTTAGGATGTTGAACGCTGGATCTTCTTGACTCAATGCGTGGGTATTGCTTGTGTCTCTATTTTTATGACTGGGCAACTCATTCTATTATCTCCTAATGAGGGTACAGCTCTAAAACTCAGTTTTATGGTTCTGAGTCCGGCTGGTAGTCAGGTTTCCCGAACTCTGTGGTAGCTCTCAGAGAGGCAGATTCCATCATCAGCCGAAAAATATCAGAGTACTAACAGTGCCATGTTGCGCATGGATGGTGTCCCTGTTTGTACTTTTGGTGTGCATTGCAGAGGCCACATTTGGAGCCCTTTGCTACGGCTTAGGATTTATTAATAGTAATGAGGCTATTGCTTAGTTGTTAAATAGTGTACTGAGTACTATCTATACTTGAGTCAAGTTCTTTATAAATTTAAAATGATTAAAGTACCTAAAACTAATAAACACAAAAAACCATCGTCATCACCAAGTTCTCTAAACCTATCATTTACTAATATTCGTGGTCTTCGAAGTAACTTTTCTTCTGTTGAGTCTTATCTCTTGCAAAGTTCACCAGACCTACTTGCTCTTTGTGAGACTAATTTGAGTTCGGCTGTCCCATCTTGTGATCTTAGTGTTGATGATTATCTTCCTTTAATTCGTAAAGACTCCAATAATCACATGCTTGGCCTGGGCATCTACATTCGTAAGAACTCACCCATTTGTCGTGAAAATAGGTTTGAATCTCCAGACTATTCATTTATGTGCTTTCGTTTAGCACAACTTCACTCTATCGCCTTTCTCTTTGTTCTATATTGCTCTCCTTCATCCCAAGATTGCACTATTCTTGATGTTATTTCTGATCAAATTGACCAAGCCCTCTCTCTTTATCCATCTGCCAATATCGTCGTTGTTGGTGACTTTAATGCCCATCACACCGATTGGCTTGGCTCTAGTGTCAGTGACTCTGCTGGCGTTAAGGCCCTCAACTTTTGCCTTTCTCAATCTCTAACTCAAATAGTCAACTTTCCAACTCGTTTTCCAGACAACCCTAATCATTTACCTTCTCTACTCGACTTATGTCTTGTTTTGGATCCTAGTCAGTGCTCAATTTCTCCACATTCACCCTTAGGTACTTCTGATCATGGTTTGATCTCTCTAAAACTATTATCAAATTCTTCTACTTCATCAGAATCCCCCTATCATCGTACCACATACAACTACCTTAAAGCTGACTGGGACTCTTTCCGTGATTTCCTTTGTGATGGCCCTTGGGTAGAAATCTTTCGTCTTCCTGTTGACAAATGTGCTTCTTACATAACTTCGTGGATTCAGGCTGGCATGGAATCTTTTATTCCCTCTCAACGATTCCAGGTCAAGCCTCACTCTTCTCCTTGGTTTTCCTCACATTGCGCTGCAGCAATTTCTAATCGAAACCTTTACTTCCATATCTATCAGCAAAACAATTCTCCAGAAAACAGACATCTGTTCACTATCGCCAGAAACCATTGTAAAAAGGTTTTGTCTGACGCCAAAGCTCGCTATTAAATCTCGTATCTCATCACAAAAATTAGGCTCTCGAGACTTCTGGAGAATCTTTAACAGTATCAATAATAAGGGCAAATCTGTTATTCCTTCTCTCTTGTATGGTTCAGACTTTGTCACCTCACCTAAAGACAAAGCTGAATTGTTTGCTAAGAGCTTTTTATCAATATCATCTCTTGATTCCACTAGTTGCGTTTTACCTGACATAGCTGTCAAACAGGTTGATCCCTTGCTTGACATTCGCATCACTTCAGCTTCTGTATCTAAAGTAATTTCCTGCTTAGACTCTTCAACAGCTTGTGGTCCTGACAACATTCCTGTTGTAGTCTTGCAGAGGTGTTCTCCGGAACTTTCATCCATACTTTCTAAACTATTTAACAAGTGCTTATCAGAGTCTTGTTTTCCATCATGCTGGAAAGCAGCATCTGTTATCCCTATTTTCAAAAATTCCGGAGAGCGACCTGATTCATCTAACTACAGCCCCATTAGTCTTCTTCCTGTCATAAGCAAGGTTTTTGAATCTTTAATCAACAAACACTTAATCTCTCATCTTGAATCAAATAACTTACTTTCTGATCATCAATATGGATTTCGGTCTTCTCGTTCTACAGCTGATGTGCTAACAGTAATAACCGATAGGTTTTACCGTGCATTAGATAGAGGTGGAGAGGTTAAGGCTATCGCACTTGACATTTCTAAAGCTTTTGATAAAGTTTGGCATGCTGGTCTTCTCCATAAGCTTTCTTCTTATGGTGTAGCTGGTAACGTCTTTAAGATTATTGAGTCCTTTCTTTCTAATCGTAGTTTAAAAGTTGTCCTCGATGGACAACACTCTTCTTCACATCCTGTAACTTCAGGGGTTCCTCAAGGTTCAATCCTTGGCCCTATACTCTTTTTAATTTACATTAACGATCTTCCAGATATTCTCACATCTAAGGTGGCATTATTCGCTGACGACACTACCATTTACTCTCGTCATGATAAGAAGCCTACACTCTCTGATTGCTTGGAGGGGGTATCTGAGCTTGAAAAGGATCTCACTTCTGCTACAGCATGGGGCTCACAGTGGCTGGTGAACTTTAATTCAGATAAAACTCAATTTTATTCGGCCAATCGTTATCGTAATAATTTAGATCTTCCTATATTTATGAATGGTAATGTACTAGATGAGTCATCTACCATTCATCTTCTAGGATTAACTCTTACTTCTGATCTTTCTTTTAAACCGTATATCAAATCCATTGCAAAATTAGCATCTGCTAAGGTTGCATCTCTTTATCGAGCTCGAGACTTTCTTACTCCAGATTCTATTCTCTATCTCTATAAATCTCAAATCCGTCCCTGTATGGAATACTGTTGCCACATCTGGGGCGGATCTTCTAATGATGCTCTTTCTCTTTTAG